GTTCTTGGTCACCAGTCTAGACAAGGCCCTTCTCCATCAGTTTCTCAGTTTGGCCAGGAGGCCAGCTCTAGGAAGAGTCCTGGTTGTTTCAAACATCTTCCATTAAGGGTAACAGAGACTACATGCTTCTGTGAACCTTCAATGAAGCAGAATTTTTTTTTCTGAACTCTTCCACAGATGTGTGGCTTGAACCTGTGGCTTGAAACCTGTTTCTGAGCTCTACAGGCAGTTATTTTGACCTCAGGGCTTGGTTTTTGCTCTGATATGAATTATCAGCTGTTAGACATTTTATTAAGACGTGTGTGCCATTCCAAATTATACCCATTCAGTTGAATTTGCCACAGGTTAACTTCACTCGAAGTGTAGTAACATCTACAAGCAATATGAATGCTCCTGAGCTAAATTTCAACTGTCCCAGATAAGGGTATGAATACTTATGCAATGACATTATAATTTTTTATTAAAGTGAAAAATTTAAGGGGGTCTGAATACTTTCCGTTATATATATATATATATATATTTTTTTTTTTTTCATATTGATGCCTTTATGGCCCCCTCCCCCCACTCCCTTTTTCAACTTCTACTTTCGTTAATAGAAAATTTGCACATTTTGATGGAAACAAAAGTTTGTTTGGGCCTGTTCCTATATTCCTTCTGGAAAATAATGAACTATTACTTAAATATTATACGTTATATTTATCAGCAGGGGACAATCTTAAAATGTCAAACCTGTTACCATAATTATGTGTGGTACATAATTGATAATTGAAAAATGTATTTGTAAAAATCTGCATTAAATTCTCTACATTCTCCTTTTAGGAAGCTCCTTGCAGTCAAACTGGAAAAAAAAGTTTTGTTTTATATAACAAACCATAAGCCGAAAAAAAGAAAGAAAACAGGATAGACCACACTGTTGTTTTTCCCCCCAAAAAAAGTCTGATGCATCAGCATTTCAAGAAAGTGTGAGACTTTCTGAGTGAGACCAAATAGCAAGAAAGACGCAGAGATTCTTCATGTATGCCTTAGTTTAAACTGACAATGACCTGCCATGAAACTCTGTGAGGTATTTAAATGTTTGTGGTTCAACACACCTGAGCTAGGCTTGGTGCCTGTGAGACTCTCGCTGACTCTCTGAGTTTATTTCGGGATGGCCGTTTGCGCTGAGATCCCTGTGCCAGTTTGGCTTTGGCTCTGTAGACACTGCAGTCCAGGCGAGCCGTCTGAGGAACATCTCCCCAGTCTGCATCTGAGGACAAACAGACACACACCAACATCTCAAAGCCAGAAGGAACTACTTTAACAAATTAGGCTGTTTATGTCTTTTCTGAACAAAATAATGATTAATAAAGGTGTTACAATCTGGCCAAATAAACTATTGTAAGATATTACAGCTAGTCCTATTTATTTGACAAGCTTTTAAAGAATAAATGATTGGCCGAGCTCTTCTCTACCAGAGTGAAGGTCATCTGTAGATAGTCCATTTCTTTCAGAGGAACCGGAGTTTGGACTGCTAGGTTGACTAGGGCTGCAAGACTCTTCTGGCTGGTCTGATCCAGTCCGGCCCTCCAGACAAGCTATCTGAGAAATGCAGAGAGGTATTATGTACATATAGAGTCATACGACTCTATCCTGTTCCCCTTCAGGAACTCGAGCAGCGTCGAGATTCGCTTTGGGAACGCCCCTGCGTGACCGCGTTCTGAAGCACGTGTAAAATCAGTCCAATGGAGCAGCGAGACGTCACGAGCGGGGTGACGTGAGCGCCAGGAAGTATAAAAGCGCATCCGGCAGAGCGCAAGTTAGCTTCTGCTCTTCAGTAGCGCTCTGTGTATGTGTCAGTCTATTTACTGTTGTCTGTCAGTCCACAAGCATTCAAAAGAATATGTCAAAGTCTAAACTAATATCTATGGCGAGCAAACGTGAAGAGGCTACAGCAGTCAGGTCGGTTGTTCCCTGCCGGTCATCCGCTTCAGGGCACCGAACTGGCTCCTCTAATGAAACCAGAGGACAGCCTCGAGAGAAGAAGAAGGATGGGGGGGGGTTGCGTCCGATTTTAGATCTCCGTCTTCTGAACTGCGCTATTAAACGGCTTTGGTTCAAGATGCTCACTATCAAGCAGATAGTATCTCATCTGGCTCCTTTGCGACTCCAGGGCATCCGCATACTCAATTGCATACTCAATTACATCGATGATTGGTTGATATTAGCTCGATCGGAGCACTTGGCGGCTCGGCATCGAGATGTCGTCCTCGCCCATATGAGAGAGCTGGGGTTAAGACTAAACGCCAAGAAGAGTGTACTTTCTCCACTACAGAGAACCACTTATTTAGGCGTGGTGTCGGATTCTACCACGATGCAGGCACGTTTGTCTCCTGCTCGTATCGAGTCAATCCTCACGACAGTCAAGAGAGTAAGAGAAGGCCACTCACTCACTGTCAAACAGTTTCAGAGGCTGTTGGGCTTGATGGCAGCGGCGTACAATGGTATACCTTTTGGCCTGCTGTACACGAGACCCTTGCAGTGGTGGCTCAGGACCAAGGGATTTTGGGATTCCGAGGGGGAATCCGCTTCTCATAATCAA